GTAAATATATAGTGCTTATAATGAAGATTGGTTTATCAAAACATATGTTGCTTATATATTCTACTTCTTTCTAATCACTAGAATAATATTCTTCCATATCATCTTCCTCAATAGGGTGATTCTCATTGGTATCAGTATCACTAGATTTATAGCCTTCAATCTCTTCTTCCCCTGACTCATCTGAATCAACCTCATCTTCTATGTCAACACGTGGAGCTCGGGAACTTGAGGCATTAGTTGTAATAACTTCCGACTGTCTCTTTTGTCGCCTTGTGTATGCCAACACATCCTCACTGCCCGACGCTCTTGAAACATCACCCCAAGTTAAGTTGTCATCACCAAACACCAATTCATCTTCTGTTTCCATATTAATACCCATCTTCCCAACCAACCATTCATTACTATGATCAATGTTATCCAACGAGATTGGATCAATGACACTCCGCAAGTCATAACGAGCTTTTAAAGCACGATTATACTTAACAAACACTAGATCATTCAATCTTTGATGCTCCAATCTGTTTCTTTTTTTGGTATGGATCTGTTGCATTGGTTAGTGTTAGTAAATTAGTCTAATTGATTAACTATGCAAAGAAAAATTAATAAATATGATGCGAGCACTTAGTACTTACATGCTCAAACACACTCCAGTTACACTCACATCCAGCAGAACTAGCTGTTAAACCCAAAATTCTAATGGCTAATTTTTGGAGATTGGGAGCTGAATTACCATATAAATTCCACCATTCAACTGTAAAAAGTGTTATGTAGACATCATTATGTATAAGTTATTACCTAAGTAAGAAGTATTAAGTAAACTTTTAAACATAAACTAAATAATTAATAATTTTAATGTTATTGTATTCACTTACCAGGAGATCTTTTCGTTCTAGCTCTTTTTGCAATAGGAAGGCCAAATTGTTGTTCAGCTCTTGTGTACAATGCTATCTCTGATATGATCTTGTCTTGTACTTCAGTGCTTGGAACCAATTTTTCAATACAAGCATACAACCCATCTGTTACTTCTTGACAATTCTCAATACCTGGATTTTGAAAGAAGAACTCTGGATTTAAATAATGTCCAGCAGCATGTAATGGATGATGCAATTGGCATTGCCATCTTTCATCAATAATCTTAAAGATATCTTTATACTTTGCAGCATTCCCTTCAAATGCCTTTGCAATAGCCTCCTTAGCTCTATCCACAGCTTCATAAATGTACCCCATGGCAGGTTTTTTCTCATTATCAGCTAATCGCAACACTTTAACAAGAGGCCCCATTATCTTCAAAATATTAGAAACCTGACTCCAGAATGTTGCCGTCAAGACAATATGTGTTGCACTTTTCCCCCTTGGTAACTTAGCCCACCTACTAATCACCCATTTGTCAGATGTAAACATTGCTCGCAGATTTGTTTTTTGACAATGCAACCGTTGCAAAGTCAGAAAACTCGTTGCAAATCGAGTAATTCCACATTTCACCAACTCTTTATTTTTAGTGAAATCTCTCATCATATTTAAGACTCCTGAGTGTCCATAAATGAAACCGACAAGGGCAATTGCTTTTTGGAGGGTCTTCTTGATGATAGGAATCTTCCCTATGTCTTCTAACATAAGATCTATACAATGAGCTGCACATGGCGTCCAAAATATGTGTGGTCTTTTTCTCTGTAACAGTTGACCTATAGAAAAAAAGGGTAAATAGATATGTTAAAATTTAGAAATCAAAACTTTGATCGATAGTAGAAAGTAAAACATAAAACTTAGATTTTTAAAGAAATAAATTCTTACCAGCCAACACAAAGTTGCTACCATTATCACTTACAATTTGAACCACATTCTGTTCTCCAACGCGTTCCACATATCTATCTAGCAATTCACATAACTTCTCTCCGGTCTTAACAAGTGAGGAAGCATCTATCGACTCAATGAACACTGTTCCATGTGGAGAATTCACCAAAAAGTTTATCAAAGTTCTCTGTTTTTTATCTGTCCAACCATCTGCCATAATGGAAGTTCCATACTTCACCCATTCTTCTCTATGTCTGTTTATAATCTCATTGGTCAACTCAACTTCCTTCCTAAGTAATGGAACTCTTAATTCATGGTAGCTTGGAGGCTTCAAGTTTGGACCATACCTTCCTACAGCCTCAATTGCTTCCTTAAAACTTTTTGAGCGAGCTACATTGAATGGGATCCCATTATCATAAAAGAAGCGAGCTACTTTTTGAATCGTCATTGCTCTTGCTTCTTTATCACACGAGTCTTTGATATTTGTTTGCCTAAGTGTTCCACGCTTTTGTAGAAACATATCCATAGGTCCCTTTCCTTTGGCCAGTTTCTTATTAGAGCCACTAGGAAAGCTTCCTCCGCCTCTTTTCTTATGATTGATCTCTTGGACTTCATCTTCTCCACCAATATTGTCTTGATATTCAAACTCATCAAATTCGGGAAACTCGTTAGTATAGACTTCCTTTCTTATTTTTTTCTCCTCCATGTAATTTTTCAGTTCCTCTCTAACCTCCTCTGGGCATTTTTTACACTTCGCTGCATTCCTAAAATTTCCAATCAAATGTTGTTTTGCCCAATTAATTCCACCCGTGGTTGTTTTTCCACAAAAATTGCACGTGACTCTTGTAGTGTCATCGGGGTCCTTCAAGTAGTTATATTTCCAACCAGGATCCCTTCTATTGCCTTTAGACAAGTCCTCTGCCATTTCTACTTCTGAAAAAAGAAGAAGTTATAATATAGCAGTTATAATTTCTAAATAATAAATAATAATACACAACAAAAACAAAAAAAAGGGACACAGGTTCTTTGTTATTTTTAAGCTGAAACAAAAAAAAAATGTATAAAGAACTTTGCATGCAATTATAACTCAGCAAATAATGAAATACAACAAGTCAACAACTACATATATATGGGGTCCACCTGTCCACCACTCTGGCTATATGACTTCTAAGAAAATTAGCTTTGTTCTTATCCTTTTACATGTGTTAAATTTTCATTGATCATTATTAAATTAAAGACACCATAAGTCATTAAACAAGGACAAGTGTCCCATATTTCCATCTAGTTTTAAATTTTCTACAAAGATAAAAAGGAGTATGAACTAATGAATGTTCAGCATCAACAATTGATGAAATCAGTAAAAAAGTAAGAAGAAATAAGAGAAAGAAGATACCTATAGGCTATATTTGCTTGCTGCTTGTCTGCCAGCGGAAGAAGAATCAGATCTGATTGTTTTTTTTTGAGCTTCTTCAAGCCTTCAAGTCCTCTTGTCTTCTTATAATTCTTCATCTTCTTCTTTTTTTTTTTTGGTCTTTTAGAAACTCTGTGACTTCCCATTAATTGCAGTATAGGGAACTGAAACATACTCTTTATAATAATTTAAAAGGACCCCTTTTTAAAAATTTAAACTGATGTTTTTAAAAAAAAAAAAAATTGAAGGGCCCACTAACATGAGCCTCGCCTTAGGTCATGCGAAGCGGCAGAGTGCATTAGCGCCTCGCTTTTGCGCTTAAGCGCGCTTTTAATTTCACTGGTAAGACCTTAAAGATATCAGGATGATTAGAAGATGAATAGTAAGGTTGAGATTCAAAGAATGTGACATTGGCGGACATAAGGTATTGACAAAGATCAGGTGAATAGCAACGATACCCTTTTTGAACTCAAGAGAAACCAAGACAGACACATTTGAGAGCATGAGGAGTTAATTTATCTGTACCTGGGGGGGCTAAGTTATGAACATAGCATGTGCTCTCAAAGACATGAGGGGGGATAGAGTAGAGATGTGAGTGAGGAAACAATATAGAATGTAGAACCTGATTCTGAATAGAAGATGAGGACACTCTATTAATTAAATAACAAGATGCAAGGACTGCATCGCCCCAAAAAGGCAGCGGAACATGGGATTCAATGAGAAGAGTGCAAGCAGTCTCAATGAGATGCCTATTCTTCCTTTTTGCTACACCATTCTACTGAGGGGTGTACAGACAAGATGTTTGGTAGATATGCTAGGGCTTTTGTAATCTGTAAAATAGGCTTGCATTGTTTTAGTGATGTTGTGAATAAAATGTTACCAATTTCAAAATGTGTAATACTTGTATGCATAATTTCTAGTGCATCAGAACTTTGCAATCACATTTACTAGGGGCGTCAAAGGGGCGAGTTGAGGTGGATCAAAATAGCTTGAGCCATTAAATGATTTATAACCTAACATTACCCAATTTTACTTGGATCAAGATGGGTGACGTCACTTTGACTAAACTATGGGTCATAGCCAAACCTTCTGAAATCAAATCATTTTTCCATTGATTTGTTTGTTTTTAGTACCATCGTATTTAATTACCAAAAGTGGAAGTGTATAATGAGAATTATTCATAAAAAATTAAATAAAATTTCATTTTCAACTTCTTGTCATTGTATACTTGTGTGCCAAATTGGGCTACTTTAAAGCTTTTGGATGCATTTTTTTGGGTTGTTGTGCCAAATTGACCAATTAACGAATGTATTTCTAGCCCAACCTGCCCAACTTCAAGGGACTCGAATGAATACGTGCTTGTTGACTAAATTTGATTTCCTTTGTTATTTTCTGTGTTACTTCTTGTGTCTCAGATTGGTTGGTGTTAGTTAGGCATTAGTAGTTTGAAAAAATGTCTACTTCCTTTGTCGTTGTCGCATCTAATATAACTTCTTTTGGGAGGCCAGAATGCAAAGTGAGTGATGTAACCTAAAATCACAAGAGCATGGATAGAAGATAGGATAGTAGAAAATGGAGATAAAAAGAAGCTCGACACAATTGAGTCAATAAAATAGGAAATTATTGAAATGAATCACAATTACCTCCTAAGTTGGAATCAACAAGCACCTAAAGTTGTAGGAACTCTCTATAAGGAATGAAATCCTATTTCAAGTGCCACACCAAGTTTGGATCATCCAAGGGCATAACCAATCTTCACCATTTAGGCTTTACAGTCATCAGAAATCTGAGTAAAATAATGAATTAATGTTCTATATAAACCAGGGCTAATTTACTAACAGTTACTTAATTACCCTTAAACTAGGCCTAAAATTAGAGAAGAGCGGAAATACCACAATTTGACAGCTATTAGTCTCATCCTCGATCACACCTTTACCACTGACACTGGCTTCCGCGTTTTCAATGAGATCCGTGATCACAAAGGCCATTGACTGCTCTGTGTTCGTGTTTGGGATCAGCTCAGATTCAGAAATCCTGCACCTTCTATTTTGCTCTGTTGTCCCCTTCCTCGGCCTGATTCTTGGTTTCTAAGACCTGTTGAAGCACTCTAAATTTTTAGTGTTGAGAATGAAGCCTCCAAGCTCTTGCGTGCCACGTTACATCAGTGAGTCACATGAACCGCGATAGGTTTATTGTTGCATATCTTATTCCAGTATCCTTTTTCTAGGTCAGAGATTGATTGTTCTGGTGGTCAGGATTATGACATTATTTGCCTCATTGATTCGGCATGCACTTTACTATTGCTGATGCATATGTTTTATTTCAGAACACACTTAGCTGATTAACTTCTTCTATTCCTTTTCGAGTTTTTGATAGGTGGCAGAAGATTTATATCAAAATGGTTTTATCAGCTATCCTCGCACAGAAACTGATAGCTTCTCGGAGAAGACCGACTTGCGTGTGAGTTTGCTATTTCTTTTTTGATAAGCTAAGAATAAGTCATGTTGTAGGTAATGTTCTTCAAGCTATGCGCCTGTGCCACTGGTTAAATCATTATGATAAATATGTGAATGGAAGATAACTTATGAAAATGCATCACTGCCATTGCCCCATTTCACTTTATACACATGCAATGATGCACTATTATGTCCAATAAACCAACTTCCCGCGTAAACTCCAAAATATACAGTATGCTGTTGCTGTATGAGTCAAACTAATTCCTTACACTTTGTGTACAATCAATGTGTGTCAGCATTAATGGGAAAGAGGAAGTTTTACCAGAGATATGCTGGTGGAAGCGTGATAGGAAATGTACTTCTACTGATGTTATTGAAGCTTAGGTTTCTTCTTCTTCTCTTGATCCCATTATTCACTTTAAAAAATCGAACTGGCTGATCCAAACTGCTCTTTGGTTTGGTTAATAATTTTATAGGTTTTTAGTATTTTTTAAGATTTTGATTATTAGTCACAGTTTGTTGTTTGTAAAGGAATAACTATCGAATATACTGAAACTTTATTCTGGTGGATACATGCGGTATGCAAATAATATGATGCAGTAAACATTCAGTTGGGTTGGATAGAGATGGAAAATGAAGGACCATTTCTCTGAATTCTTCTGCACTCTCAACTACAGCAAAAACAGGAAGAAACATAAGCTTTATTGTTATTCAAGGACAAAGCAAATCAGTCATTATTACACCGGAGAGTACATATAAAGGAGGGGGGTGGGGTGGGGCGAGGGGAACATAGCACACAAAGTGGCAAGGTTCATCTAGAACCAGAGAAAACAAAGGAGATTCCACCCATAACCCAGTTGACTTCATCCTTCAAAGAGGTCTGCTCAAATAACAGAGCACAGCTACAGACAAACAATGATAACATAAGAATCATTAGAGGCTGTAAGTTTTGGTACCAAAGTTGTACAATTTTATTCATCCATAGAGATACAAATTTATAGTATAGAAAACTAAACTAACTAGCAATCAAATCCCTTGATTCTGGCAGATTTGAGAATCAAGGGATGGTTTCATTGATCTAATATCCTAACCTATTCAATATCATATCAGATATGATTTTATAAGATCAATTTAAATCCTACAAAATCATATCTGATCATACTTAGATATTTACAAATCAACAGAGGCATGTTACCTTTCTCAAAAAAAAAAACAAATCAACAAGAGGCACATCAACATCAGAGAAGGATCTTCTAAGCAGATGCATGTCGCAAGTTTCAGAATCCAACACATGAGATGCCAACCCCAAACAATGTGAGGTGGTGGGCATGCAATAATTGGAAGATTGCTTCTGGAATTAGTATTTATGCGATGAACTATTGCCAATTCCTCTTCGACTTCCCTTCATGAAAAGTTGCTGAACATGTCCAAACTGGAGAATGGATCTGGAACAAAATGAAGCTAAGGCTTGAATGGTTAGCCCAACCAACCACGGGATGCTGGCCAGCGGAGATACAGAGGGACTGGGTATGGTTCAGAATCTTAGGGCTCCCACTGAGCATGTGGCACAAGATGTTCAAGCAGATCGGTGACCAGTTCGGGTGGATTCATTGAGACAGAGGAGACAACTCTCGAAAATCACCTTCACTAGGCTCGTATTAAGGTGCAAGGAGACGGAAAGAGAGTTCTGATAGAGATAGAGGTGACCAACAAAGGTTATGTTTATATGATTCTGATAATGGGTGGAGGCGCCGGTCACCGTTAGAACAGAAAAAGTGAAGAGAAAGGTGGAGGGTTTTGGACCAGTGGATAATACAAGGCTGGAGAACATTTTCGTGAAAGAGTCAGCGGATGTAAGGGGTTGCCATGTGGGTTCAGCAAAAGGCGGAGAAAATTCAAATAAAATGTCACCCAGCTGTCAGTTTTAGGAGAAGGCCCCACTATGGACTGTGGCAGGCTCTATTGGATTGTGTGACCATCTCGTTTTGAAGTTTAAGCTGTTAAAGAGAGCATACTTTAATCATTTAATTCTATCATGTCTCAACACGCATCCTCACACGTGTGCCTGATTCTTTTTTATGGGCTGAACACGTGGAATATGTTGTTTTGATTTTTAGGTGGCGCTAAGATTTGAACCCTGGGTCTTGCCTGCTCTGTTACTACATTGAATTGTGTGACCATATCATTTTTAAAAGGTTAAGCTGTTAGAGAGTTTAATTGTACTCCCTCCGTCCAATTTTTTGTGAGGTAATTTGACTCGGCACGGAGTTTAAGAAAGAAATGAAGACTTCTAAAACTTGTTTCTAAAATGAATGATAAAAATTTGTGTGGCTATAAATAATTTCATTAAGGGTAAAATGGATATTTTAAAGTTAAATTGTTACTTAATAGAGAAATGTGTCAATTCTTTTTGGGAGTAACTAAAAAGGAAATTAAGTCATATAAATTGGGACAGAGGGAGTAATTGCTTAATTATATTATATTTCAACTCCTCTCAAATCCAAAAACAATTTTAGCCACAGGGCTTTTGTTAGTGGTAACAATGCAACTTGTGATGTGTGAGTAGGTGCACAACACGGCTTAGAACCCTGTCACGAACAAAAGCTTTGTATTTAAGTGGAGAAAGGTAGAGAGGTGGCAGTGTTGTAAAAAGCGCAGATAAGCGCGCTTAAAGCGAGAAGCGAGGCGAGGCAAGGCCCCTGCGCTTTTATTTCGTGAAGCGAGGCGACATTGAAAAGGCGCTCGCTTCTACTGTAGAAGCGAGAAGCGCAAGAAAAGCAAAAGCGTAAAAAAAGCGCGCTTAATTTGAAAAAGCGCTAATTAGGTTTTTTATTTATAAAATTGTAAGTTTTTTTGTTTTTTTTTTTAATTTCTGAAATCCTT